GCTAAAATGATAAGACCCTGTCTTCCCCACTCCCCCCCAAAAATTAAAAAAATAAACATAAGATTATTTCCAGAGGAGGAAGGGAGGGGAGCAGAGAAAAATGTATAGCTCAGTAAAAACAATTTTAAAATAAGATTTCCAGCCAGGCAGAGGCAGGTGGATCTCTGTGAGTTCGAGGCCAGCCTGGTCTACAAGAGCTAGTTCCAGGACAGGCACCAAAGCTACAGAGAAACCCTGTCTTGGAAAAACAAAACAACAAACAAACAAAAGGAACCCTTAAAATAAACTAACAAACTAAAAGTCATTTCCTTGTTTAACAACTCTTGAGCAGTGTTGTCCCACCTTCAGGGTAGAAAACTGAAAGAAACACTGTTGATTTAATGCCCTCCTACCTCCCCAGCCGTCTCTGTGGAGCATCTCTCTCCATACACTACCTTTCAGTTGTCGACAGAAATGTACCCTCCTTTGTGGACTTCCAAGTCTTTATTCTGCTCCTAAACACCCCTTGAAACGTGCTATCTATACCTTTCTCAGTTTCACTTCCTCTGGAAATTTCCCATGACCCTCTTTTGCTGAGCCTTTTCTTTGTCAGTATCCATCATAGTACTCAGCTCTCGGCAGCTTATTAGCTGCCTGCTTTCGCCACCCTACACTACGAATCCTGAGGGCAGGGCCCTGTCTTGCTCATCCTTGTACATCCAGACAATCGTCTCAGATCCAATGTGTCTACTTCGTGCCTGTCAGCTCAAATCAACAGAAGTGACTAGTTTGTCTTGGAGGTTGAAGTGGGGGTTCTCCTTCCCCAGCAATCATTTGGTGGTGTTTATGAAGTGTGACTACCTAAAGACTACCTGTATTTTTAAAAAGCCTCTTACTAATTGAAGAAGCTTTCTACATTTTTGTTGATCTTATACTTAAACTGTATTTGACTGTTAATATCAATTAGGAATATAATTTATTTCCTGTGTTTCTCTAAAAATAGTGTTTTTACATTTACTAACTAGGAGATAAGTCCTTATAAAAAGCCTTTATGAAATGCCTGATGCTATTATCATAAATGTATTTTGGTTAAGTTTTATTTTTGTCTTGATGTTTTTTTCTCTAGGCTGAAAATCTGTTATTAGATGCGGATATGAACATTAAAATAGCAGATTTTGGTTTTAGCAATGAATTTACTGTTGGCAGTAAACTAGACACGTTTTGTGGTAGTCCTCCATATGCAGCCCCTGAGCTCTTCCAGGGCAAGAAGTATGACGGGCCAGAAGTGGATGTGTGGAGTCTCGGCGTCATTCTGTACACCCTAGTCAGTGGGTCGCTTCCCTTTGACGGTCAGAACCTGAAGGTATAAGAAGCAGTTGCAGCCATGCTCTTCAAAAACTAAGGATTTTTATAAAATTGTGTAGATTGACATTTTTAATACTATTTGTATGGGTGCTTTTATGGGTTTGGTTTTATTGTTACTGTTTTTAACTTAAAAATTAACTATTATTTCCTTATTGCATTCCTTAAAGGAACTGAGAGAGAGAGTCCTACGAGGGAAATACAGAATCCCTTTCTACATGTCCACAGACTGTGAAAACCTTCTCAAACGCTTCCTGGTGCTGAATCCAGTTAAACGTGGCACTCTTGAGGTACCACACCAGGGGGAAGAAAGAGCATTTAAGAGAACCCTGCTTAGTTTATGTGACACTGAACACCTGTGGGGTTTTAGGTAGTAAGGAAAACAAACAAATTCCCTTAAGTTTCCTTTAGAGGGTTATTCAATGAAATGCTGAAAATCATCTCCCTAAATATTTTGAGTGTTGGGGGACTTTGTTCTGTTCTAACACACAGTTCACCTTTCAGCAAATCATGAAGGACAGGTGGATCAACGCAGGTCATGAAGAAGATGAGCTCAAGCCATTTGTTGAACCTGAACTAGACATCTCAGACCAGAAGAGAATAGGTAATTACCTATGTTTTTATGTGTATGTGTACTATACATGTTTTACTCCTGTGTGTGTGGCTCAAACAGAAACAAAGGGAGGGTAAGGACAGAATTTATAAATCCATTTATCTGTTCTGTCTTAATTAGGAGTTTAGCAGGGCAGTGATGGTGCTCACCTTTAATCCTAGCACTCGGGAGTTAGAGGCAGGCAGATCTCTGTGACTTCTGGTCTACAGAGAGAGGTTTAAGACAACCAGGGCTCCACAAAGAAACCTTGTCTCAAAAAACAAAATTGGGAGCTTAATCTGTGGTTTTCTCTAGTAGCACTAGTAACTCAGAAGCATGTTCAGCAGCTCTTCTATGTTAGGAAATATATAACCTTCTAATTCAAATGAAATTGTTTTTCCCTATGCTAGCATGATTTCCAATCCAAATAAAATATATAAACCATATTTTATCTTTTAGATATTATGGTGGGAATGGGATATTCACAAGAAGAAATTCAAGAATCTCTTAGTAAAATGAAATATGATGAAATCACAGCTACATACTTGTTATTGGGGAGAAAATCTTCAGAGGTAAGAGTGTTTAGAGAGGAAACGCTAAATACCCTGTGTAAAAGGGATCAGTGTGCAATGCATGATGGCACGTGCCTATAGTTCTTGCACTCAGGAAGTGGAGGCAGGAGAGTCAGAGATTTATGTTCTCCTCAGTTATATAATGAGTTCCAGGCTAGTCTGCACTACAAAAGACCCTCTCTCCAAAAAGATTTGACTCTATTTTAAAAAGAAAAAAGTTTCCTTAATATTTTTAATATAACATTTGGTATTCATTTTAAAACTTTGCCTACAAGCAGTGGTCTCACTCCATTGACCCTTATAAGCTATTATTTTTTATTTTTGGTTGTGAGTCTAGCATTTAGTGACTGATCCATCTCTCCAGCTCATAAACTACTATTTTAGCTTCAAAGTAATAATCCTTTATGAGTAGTAATGTCACAAGCCTATACAATTGTGAGTTACTTTTAGTCATTAATAGTTTGAAAATGATGTAAAATACCAAACAAAGGAAACAGAGTATAATGTCTTAGTTCTTTGAAAAGGTCAGGAAAGAGATAGTTAACATATAACCTTATTCTCAGAAGTCAGAAAATACTTTTGAATGAGTTTAAAGTTGTTGTTTTGAGCTGGGCGGTGGTGACGCACACCTTTAATCCCAGCACTTCGGAGGCAAAGGCAGACAGATCTCTGTGAGTTCGAGACCAGCCTGGTCTACAGAGCTAGTTCCAGGACAGGTTCCAAAGCCACAGAAAACCCTGTCTCAAAAAAAAAAAAAAAAAAAAATGTTGCTTTGTACGTTGTGATAACTCCTCTCTGACTGGGAGGAGTATGTCACCAGGAATTTCATGACAAGCCATTGGGCTCCGTATATGGTTGCTGCTCTTCTCATTCTCCCATAGCTGGACGCTAGTGACTCCAGTTCTAGCAGCAACCTTTCACTTGCTAAGGTGCGGCCAAGCAGTGACCTCAGCAACAGCACTGGCCAGTCTCCTCATCACAAAGTACAGAGAAGTGTTTCTTCAAGTCAGAAGCAGAGACGGTACAGTGACCATGGTGAGTCTGAGACTATTCCAGTAGCTTCTGAATGTGTTCTCCTGACTAGAGCCTGTCAGGGCAGAGGAGATTGGCTTGCTGTCCCTTCCTAGCATTAGGACTGGTATGGTTAAGGTCTCCTAACTATTTGGAACATTTGGTAAACTTCGCTTGATAAGAGAGAATGAAAATCTTATCTGTAGTTTTGCTTTTCTCTCTGAGCATTGCAACTGACAGGGCTCTCTACTGATGGAATAACATTCTCTGTTCATGCAAGCTAATGAGCTCTTAAATGGAGGAAATGACTTTCACATTTTTCTTTTTATGTATATGAATGTTTTAATTTCATGCATTTATATGCCTCACTTGTGCCTGGAGGCCAGAAGAGTGTGTCAGATCCCCATGAACTGAAGTAACAGATGCTTGTGAGCCATAATGTGGATGCTGGGAACCAAACCTGGATCTTTTGTGAGTGTAGGCAGTGTTTTTGCTGCTGAATCATCTTTCCAGCCCCAGGGGTTTCTATTTCAGTTTCAATTAAAGGTAAAAATATGAGTCTGGGCATTTTGGCATAATCCTGTTATCCCAGTATTTAGGAGGTAAAGGCAGGGGGATTAAGAATTTACGGTTGGGACTTGAGAGTTGGTTAAGAACACCTGTGTTCAGTTCCCAGCACCCACATGGCAGCACACAAGTATCTGTCTTCTGGTCATTGTGGGTACTAGTCACACATGTGCACAGACATTCACACAAACAAAACAACCATCTGATAAAATAGTATTTCTTTTTAAATTTCAAAATAAGTTAAGGTCATCTTTGGTTATATGCCAAGTTTGAAGTTTGTTTAGCCTGAGACCCTATTGCAATGTAAGGGGGGGGGGAGGAAAGAAGACAAGAAAACAGTGTGCATGAAGGGGGTTGATTTATTTATGGTTTGTAAATGAGCAGGTGCTCTCAGTTTCTTTCTTCCTATGTATTTGTATTAGCTAACAAGGAAGTTTACAGGGTCTATATACTGAATGCCAACTTTAAATGCATCCACACTACTCTTAAGAGACCCGATTCAAAGGGAATTACTCCTAAATCCTGAAAGAAACATGTTGAATTTTCTTACTTATCAAGGGATTAATCTTTAGTAAGTTTAGTCTTTCTCAGGCACATAGTTTTCACCTGGATTTCTAATGACATTTTTCCAGAGTTAAAGTGAGCTTTGGAACTAGAACCATACACTTTGCTGACCCTTCATTTTATCAATAAGGCATGGGAAAGGAATGTCAGCAACTCTCTCAGGGGCCAGAGCAAATGAGGAATGCCTGGAGTGGAGCTGACTCCTGCCTGACCCCCGTCCTGTGTCTTTAACTCACTGACAGTCCATTTTCCCCAGAGAAGGTTCTGTGCTGCCCCAGGTGTATAGCTACATAGAGAGCCAAACATCATTGATAAATGATAAAGTAATTTGTTTTAAAGTAATTTTTTTAAAAAAAAATATGGAATGCTTTACGAATTTGCGTGTCATCCTTACGCTGGGAACATACTAATCTTCTCTGTATCATTCCAATTATTTTTAGTATATGTGCTGCCGCAGCGAGCACTTAAAGTAATTGTTTTGTATACATGTGGCACTACTATTTTATTAAAAGGGATTTTTTTCATACTAACGAGAGACCCATTCTTGTTTATTTTTACATAGATCTTTTATTGTTAGTTTTTGTTTTGCTTTGTTTTATTGAGGCAGGGTTTAACTCTTTAGTCCTAGGTGGCCTGAAACCAGGCTAGCCTTAAACTTATAAGAGATCTACCTGCCTCTGCCTCCCGAGTTTTGAGCCTGTGTACTGAATACCTACATCACCACACCTGATGAGAGTTAAATGTTGCCTGGATAGTGGTATGGCACACTCCTTTAATCCCAGCTCTCCGGAGGCAGAGGCAGATGGATCTCTGTGAGTTCAAGGCCTGCCTGATCAAGAGTGAGTTCTAGGATAGCAAGAGAAACACTGTCTCAGGGCTGGAGAGATGGCTCAGTGGTTAAGAGCATTGCCTGCTCTTCCAAAGATCCTGAGTTCAATTCCCAGCAACCACATGGTGGCTCACCACCTTCTGTAAGGAGGTCTGGTGCCCTCTTCTGGCCTGCAGACATACACACAAGTATACATAATAAATAAATAAAATTGAAAAGAAAAGAAAGAAACACTGTCTCAAAGAACCAGAGCAAGAGATTACTAGTGTGTCCATTTCCAATTGTTTGAACTCCAGATGGCCTATGTTAATGCTGGAGCCTCTGTATTCTTATCTGGAATATTGGTGCATTTTTTTTTAAGATACAAGATAAAATTTCAGAAGAAATGGCACAAGAGAGCTGTGCTGTCTTACTCTGACAAAATGAGAATATTTCATACTAAAGGATGTAATTTGCTTGATTGTACCAAAATAGTTTGTTCTGCATAAAGACTATGCATCTAGTTAATTTGATTAGTGATCCTCTAGACAGTGACGTGTTATTAAGTTGTTTCCAAAGGGCAACTCAACTTGTTAAGTTTTTACAATCTTTTTAGAAAGTAGAATGTTTGTGTGGTAATCAAATGGAAAATATCTTAGAAAATTTTACTAGTTTATAGTTACAGGTGAATAGAAATTTAAATTGTCTTACAAAATGTTTATTTTAAGAGAATAAATATGAAACTGCATTCTGTCTTTTAAAGAGTGAACTCTTTATTGTAGCTGGACCGGCTATTCCTTCAGTTGTGGCATATCCAAAGAGGAGTCAGACTAGCACTGCCGATAGTGACCTCAAAGAAGATGGAATTCCCTCCCGAAAATCAAGTGGCACTGCTGTTGGAGGAAAAGGGATTGCCCCTGCCAGTCCCATGCTTGGGAATGCAAGCAATCCCAATAAAGCTGATATTCCCGAGCGTAAGAAAAGCCCTGCTGTCCCCAGTGTAAGTACTATTGGATTGGATAGCAGTCCTTGGTGGTTGGGACTTGAACCAGCTAGTCTTTGTACATCCATTCATTTTATTCTCTATTTTCTGCCTGCGGTGTTTTTCCTCTAGTCTACCATGCCCCGCTTCCTACATTGTAGGTGTTTCTTTTGATAATTCCTACTGCTGTGACAGAACATCTGAGACATATTTATAAGGAAAGAAATGTTATCTTGAATTCTAGAGACTGAAAAATCCAGCAGGCTCACTGTGTAGTGGGGGATATTGTCTTTGCTGCTTCCAAGATAGTATTCTGTTACCACTCTCTCCAAAGGTGAGGACACGGTATGGACACCTTGTAAAAAGGGTGGATTTATCTCTCCCTTCCTTTTATATTGCACTAATGACCTAGAAGCCTCAGTTCTTAACACTGTTGCACTAGAATACGTTTTTCCAGAGTTCCAGGGGAGCCCAGACAGTCATAGCCCATTCTCCACACTAAGTAAGTACTCAGGTCCTGCGTGTCAGAGACAATGAGAAGTTACTCCAGAGACATCTACTCTCTGTAAGTTGTTACACAAAAGACAGTGGCAGTGCAGAAGGTAGTTGGCAGAGCTGATATGTACAGTGCCAACAGGTCGACTGTCCTCCAGGAAGAGTGTTTTCACTGAGGCCTTTCTGAGTACCAAAGACTGGACTAGCTAAGCACAGGTGAAGAGCAGGAAGGGAAGTTACATCATTGGTCTGCTGAAGTCACTATCTCTCAGTAAATAGTTCCTGTTTGTTAGATTAAGTTGAATTCATTTAGTCTCAGGAGCCATTTTTCTCAGAATGGAAACGGTTCTGTCTGACATAACATGGTAATTACTATTAGCACTTAAAGAAATAATTTTGCACAGAATTTGCAGAACAATGAACAGTCTTGATTTTGTCTAAAAGCATGATTTCCTCTCTCAAAATTGACAGTACTGCAGCCCTTCTACTGATAGAAAAACCCAGAAAGGAGCCCTTCATTATGTTATGGGGTCAGAAGTTCACAAGAAATCCAAGGGGTTTTGTCCATTTCATCCTCTGGCATTGTGCTTAATCAGAATAAAACATTTAAGATACTTTTATTGTGGCTTTTGAGTGCCTTTTAAAGTGGGGTTGTAACATTGTACTTCAATTTTGGTCTCCTGTTTTTTTGAGTTGTGGGCGTTTGAGTTTCTATGTAGCCCTGGCTGTCCTGGAACTTGCTGTGTAGACCAGGCTGGTCTCCTTCCTCTGCTTCCTGAGATTCTGAGATTTGGTATTAAAGGTGTGCACTGCCACCTGGCTCAGTCTCTTAGATTTTAAATTTGGTCTCATTTTTATGACAGTAGAAAATGCTTTCTTTCCCATATTTGTGACATTGCACTCTAATTTTGTCTTTGGGGGGAGGGGTTAGGCAGGGTTTCTCTGTTGTAGTTTTAGAGCTTGTCTTGGAACTAGGTCTTGTAGACTAGGCTGACCTCAAACTCACAGAGATCCGCCTGCCTCTGCTGGGATTAAAGGTGTGCGCCACCCTACCTGGCTTATCCTAAGTATTGTCAACTGTTAGTGTTTACCTGTTTATAAAAAATAGTAAGTAACAGCGATATTATGTAGACTTGTTACTATAGCAGAATTCTGAGAAAAGATATATTTTAGTTCAAGACTATTTCTAGCTCAAGTTGGGTTAGGCTTATGGCTCCTACATAGGGTTGTGAAGGCAGCCCTTCATGGACATGTGCTAGAACAAACTAGGATGCAAGTGACTTGATGGGCCAGAGTCTCAGCACACTCTTCATGAACATGCCCCGGTAACTTTAGAATCTCCCATGATGTCCTGCCACCTAAATATGCTATTGCATCTCAGTAGCCCCACCCTAGGGGCCAAGCCTTTTACTTTGTGGACTTTTGAGATCCATTCTTCCAAAGTATAGTAGCATCATCAGAAATTTTCTTCGAGTCATTCTTGGTGTTTCATTGAACATGATCCACTCATGATACATTAAAACTTTATCTTCACTTGGGCTGGGTGGTGGCGGTGCACACCTTTAATCCCAGCACTTGGAAGTCAGAAGCAGGCAGATTTCTGTGAGTTCAAGGCCAGCCTGGTCTGCAAAATGAGTTCCAGGACAGCCAGGGCTGTTACATAAAGATACCCTGTCTCGAAAAGCCAAACAAAATTCTATGATTGGGTTGAAGAGATGGCTCAGCACTTATGGGCATGGACTGTTCTTCTAGAGAATCCACATAACAGCTCACAACCATCTGTAAATCCAGTTCTAGACCTCTGAATGCACTGCACACACGGTGCACAGATATACATGCAAGAAAATCACCTATACACATTTAAAAAAATATTTTTTTTTTCTTTTCCCAAGACACAGTTTCTCTGTGTAGCTTTGGAACCTGTCCTGGAACTCGCTCTGTAGACCAGACTGGCCTCGAACTCATAGAAATCAACCTACTTCTGCCTCCCAAGTGCTGGGATTAAAGAAAAATAAATTGAAAAGAAAAAGAAAAATACTGGCTACTTTTTCAGAGGACCTGGGTTTAGTTGTCAGCATTCACATGGTAGCTTACAAGTATCTTTAACTCTTGTTCTAGGAGATCTGACACCCTCTTCTGACCTCCACAGGCAACAGCCATACATGCTGCAAACACTAGTACACATAAAAGTGAATCTTTTTTGCCTGTTCTTGATGACATATGCCTTTAATCCCAGCATTAAGGAGGCAGAAGGAGGTGGATTTTTGAGTTTAAGGCCAGATTCTTCTACAGAGTGAATTCCAGGACAGCCAGGTCTACAAAGGGAAACCCTGTCTTGAAAAACAAAGAGGGGGGCGTCTTTTTAATTTTTACTTATTTACTTTGATTTACTAGCTCTGTAAACCAGACCAGTCTCAAACTCAAGAGTTCTGCCTGCCTTTGCCTCTCAAATCCTGTTGGTTCGGTTGGTTGATTTGAAACATGCTTTCTGTGGCTTAGGCTGGCCTCAGCCTCTTACGTGCTGCAATTACAGGAATGAGCCACTTAGGTAGAGAACGTTTCAATACCACATAATACCTGTAACTGTGATAACTTGTCATTTTCCAGCTCCTGCTCCCTTTTTTGATGACTATTTTGATGATTAATTAAGTCAAATATATAAATATAGACCTTTGTGTTTGGTTTCTTGAATTCAAGATCATATTTGAGAGTTCAAGTTGTAGCATGTATTCCTTTTTAGAGCTTGAATGTTATTCTATACGTTTAGACTACAATTCATCTGCTCATCTGTTGATAGACATTTAGATTATTTCTACCTTTTCGACATAAAGAATAGCATTGTAGATATTTTTATGAAATGTCTGTGTGACCTGGAGGTGGTGGCACACACCTTTAATCTCAGCACTCAGGAGGCAGAAGCAGACATATCTTTGAATTCGAGGCCAGTGTGGTCTACAAAGTTCCAGAATAGCCAGTACTGTTATACAAATCTGTATGGACTACAATTTTCTATTCTGTGTGTGTATATGCTGCATATGTATGTGTGCATATGTATGTACTTGCCTGTGCAGACAAAGGCTGACAGTGGAAATGTTTTTATTAGTTGCTTTTTACCTTTTGAATGTGTTCTTCTCCACTCTTTGGGTCTGTAACTTCTTCCAAAAGGTTTTCCCATCTTA